AACCCTATCTTACCACCTGCTTTTTCCTGAAAATGAGAATTGAGGACATCATTAAACAAACACAGTGCCTCATCCACTCTACCCTCAAAAGAAACCCCCAACAAAGGACCCACTTCCAATCCCTTCTCCCTCACCCACTCCTCCTCAAGATCATTAACTCCGACAACATTTGAGTCGCTAACCCAATTACCCCCAGGCGGAACAACAGCTAAAGGAACAACCAAATTCACTGCTTGTTTCAGGTCTTCCCATGGAATCATGCCCGAGTCTCCATCCAGAGAAGAACATGCAGCTCCCTCCCAATCATCAAGAACAGAAGAGGAATGCGAGCAAAACTGCGAAACATGCTCCTTCTCTGTCAAAACTCCTCCTGAATCACCAAGAAAGCCTTTCGACGCCAAATGGTCCCGTATCTCCTTCAACAGAATAGCAGCCGTATCATCATCAAGCTTCACCTTCACATCCCAACCAATACAAACTGTAACTCCCTCGCACAAGCCTTCACATCGTCGAGAGAAACTAAGTCTAAACCCAGAATCACCATCATGTCTGTCCACAAGAACGGAGTCCCTCTCACCCTCCGATTCTTTAGAGAATGAAACAGAAGCTATCCCACCCCTCACCCGTTCCAAAGACATCGTCGACTCCCCCAAAAAAGGAGAAGAAGTAGAAGAGAAACACGGTTTATTAGGAGAAGAACCAGAAGGAACTGAAAACATACCCGATTCAAAACCGGATTGCGAAGATGCCACCCATTTTTGCTTATCCTTTCGTGACCATTTCTTACGAAAAGCGGGAAGGATCACCTTTTTCTTTGGCAACTGACGTCTCAGGACCGGAACCTTCACTCGCCGATCAACGTTCATTCTCGTTTTCATCGAACCAGCAACACAAGGAGCTCTATCATCTCGCAAGGAGGACAAGGGAGATTGATGGAGAGTTCGTGGATCACCTTCTTTTACACTGTCCTGTGGCCTGATTGTTGGAGTCTTATCCTGGGACTATTTGGTGTCCATTGGGTCATACCCCGGACCTCAAGGGATTTGATGGATGTCTGGAGGGGCCAAAGGGTGGGGGCGCATGTTAGGGTCTTTTGGAGGGTGACCCCCCTTTGCATTTGGTGGAGCCTTTGGAAAGAGCAGAATAAAAGATCTTTTGATGGGGAGGAATCTTCCATTGGGGCGTTGAAGTTTTCCATTATCTTCTTTCTTTTTTGTTGGGGTTGGGGGAGAAATTATTCATCCATAGATGAATTGGTGGACTTTATGGGTTCTTTGGGACCATAGGTCTTTTCCTCGTTTCTTGTTTCTGACTTTTGTACAGCTCTTAGGACGCGTTCCCCTTTTGAACGCTTTCTAATATATCTTTACTTATCAAAAAAAAAAAAAAAAAAAATGTCTGAATGTGAGACTCCCTAAAATTTCTTGTTTCTGACTTTTGTACAGCTCTTGGGATGCGTTCCCCTTTTGAACGCTTTCTAATATATCTTTACTTATCAAAAAAAAAAAAAAAAAAAAAAAAAAAATGTGTCTGAATGTGAGACTCCCTAAAATCCTAAATCTTAGGATACTTGGACTCGGCTTGAAATGCGTCCAAGACTTGGATACAAGTGGACTCGTATTTCACACTAAAAAACATTATATGTGATATAAAAGCATTACGCATGAGGATATTATTCCTTAAAAATGTACTCAATAATAATGAAAATTAAATGAAAGATGTTGAAAAATGAGAGGGGATCCAACTATCTCAGGAAAGGTAACCCTTATTTGCTATTGCAGTTGAGCAATTGTTCTTTGGTTCTTCCATCATTAAGATTAGAGGATCTAGGTGTCTGATTTGGCTATGTGTAACTGATACATATCCCATACACATACCCATGTCGTGTCGATGCGACACGGGTACGTTAAGGGGAACAGGAGGGTCCAACTAACATAGTTTGTAGATAACCCCCTGTAATATAATTTTTTTTGCATATAACCTCCTCATATACTAATTTTTTATGCACGTTACCCCCTTGCCCCTTGTAGTACCAAATCAGTTGCACATAAACACACTCTGCCTTAGCACCGTTAGCTGAAAGGCAAAAAGACAATGTTGCCCCCAAATGAAACTTGGGAACATTCATTCTCAAAGCAATAATCTTTAGCTCCAAATTCAACAATTCCCATCCCGTTTGAACCTCATAAAAATAATTAATTAGATTTACTCAGTTTATTGAAACATAAGCTGATTAATGAGAGACATAATAATAAGCTGATTGGATTCCCATATGAAAAAAAGAAAGAAAAAAGAGTGAGTTGTTGAAGCAAAATCTTCAGATATATATGCTTTTAACCTGAGTAATGAGAGACATAAACTGAGTTGTTTCTCAGTCAGCTTAGTTTTACTTGTTTCGAAACATAATCATTTTGATAAAAACAATACTCTTCAGAGGCACAATCTTCAGAAGCAACATTATCATCCCATATGAACCTCATGGAATCATGCATTGTCCAACCGCGCCCCCCGCGCGCGCGCGCGAGCGGGGGGGGGGGGGGGGGGTGGGGGGGGGGGTGGGGGGGGGGTAGAGGAGGGGAGTGTCCTACTATGAAGGAGGAGCGCATCTGTTTTGGGTTTATGTTCATATAATATAATATTGGGAAAGGAAATATATTAAACTATAAACTGGAGTGTAAAGAGTATTTGCACTTTTAAAGCAATAAGCACAAATAAATTACAAGGGAGAGAGAGAGAAAATGGATGGAACGGAGAACTCAAGCTACTGATTTCGTAAACTCTCAGTCCAAAACCAAATAAAACAATCTCAAGCTACCGATTTCATCATACTGGACCAATTAGGTTTTGAGAAGTTAGGGTTTGGGCGTTGAGATTGAAAGCTTGAGACATTTAGGGCGATAAGGATGTGCAGAGAAAGATAGAATAGTGTGTTGAGAGAGAGAGAGAGAGATATGGTCGGGGGAACCCGATTACACATTTAAGCTGCTAAGAGGTCTAAAATGGCCATTTTAATAATATTCAGGTGATGTCGCTGCATTTGATTGAGATTCTGTTGTTATTTTTACGGCAGTGAGACGGAAAAGGGTATAAGTGCAACTGATTTGGTATTACTAGGAAGTATGTGCAAATATTAGTATAAGGGGTTATATGCAAACAAGTTATATTCCAAGGGGTTTATATGCAAACAACCCTTTTTTTCCTACTATGAAACTGAAAAAAATTGTTAAACAAACTTGATAGATCAGAATTCATGGGAGTGGTTCTTAACCTATTCCATGTAGAAGGAAGCTGTTTGTGAACTTATTTTTTTGCATTTGTTAGGAAATGATCTTATCCTGATAATATCTTTTTGCTTATGAAAACTAAAATATCTGAGGAACTGCGTTGCTCATATTGATTTTATGGTGAGCATTGAGCAAAGTACCATGTAGGGCTAAATTTTGTGCTTTATCTAGGAGCATGTACTAGGGTCACTATTTTCTAAGGTAATCATTTGTTATTATTGCCATTTCACTAGTATATTCTAATGGATACTATGTCTTTTTTTATTTTTTTATTCTTTTTTCCTCTTTCGTCATTTATTTTTTTCTGTAATAGGTGACAAAAGTATTCACTAATGGAGTCATATTTGCAAGCTGTACATAAAAATTAAAATTCTAATTTAATATTATCTAGTCTACTGAAATGATTCATATAGAAGCACCAAAAAGTTCAAAAACCCCACCTCAGCCCCCTACCCACCTTGAGGAAAGGAATATAAATTAAAAAGAAATAAAAGTGGACAGATAGTACGGTATTCAAACTTTGTTAAAATTGTTTAGTTCTACTGAAATGATGCATATACAAGCACCAAGAAGAAGAAAAACCAACAATGTAGCCAGCCATTTCACTCACCTCTGGCTCCAGTGCTGAAAATCTTATGTATGCACTTTATAAAATGATATACCTAGTGCATTTTCACATTCCTGCATACTCCATGCCTTTTCAAATGGCTTTCTTGAAACGTATGGAGATATTAGAGGTATTTCATTAGTATCACAACCAATAAGCATGAAAGATACATGCATTATTGAGTTCGTTTAACATAAGGAACTATAGTGCATTCAAAGTTGTGAAGGACTTGTGGTTTTATTGTGAGTCTTTTAATATAAGACTGCAATAAAGCTAGTTATTATTGAGTCTAATTTGTGATATAGATAATTTTTTAAATTAAATAGATATATTATTGATAATGTGTGTTTTACTACAACGATAAATCCAAAAAGACACGTCAAAATTCTCCATCATCAATACATTCCATATACATGGAAAAATGGAACAAGTACTGGAACAGAATTGAAAGATAACGTAGACATTTATAGGCTGCTGGACCTTTTTTCCTATCTTTACCAGTATTATGACTTAAAAATTTAGAAATTTCTTTCAAGTAATGAAATCTTTCTAGACCTACCAAAGGCCAAATATTAAGAGTTAATAGCATATCTAGATACAAAATATAACCCTGAGCACTGCCATAGCCCATGTCAAGCAAATCGGAAGTTACTGGAATATCATTGACATGATTCATGAAACACGAGGTGACAGAATTGAAATTATATCGGCCATGAATTCATCTTAAAAAACCATAAAATATAACTCAAAACAAAACCAAAACTTTGTTTAGAAGAGGTCCCAAGTGGTCTCCATATGAATTCTTGATTGGTCCCATTTCATGTTATCTGTTTGCATCTTGTACATGGATAAAATTAAATCTTTGACATCAATTTAGCTTTTTTTCTTCATATATTACAATGCTTTAGCATAGTAATTATACGGGCATCTCAGCATCCTTTGAGTTTGTTGTGCTTTATCTCTGTCAATGCTTTAGTAAAATGGTGGCTTTTTATTTTTTTAAGAAATTGTTTTTAAACAAACAACCTTTCCAGCTTTGAAACATTTAGTGTCATAAAAGTTCTGATGCTGATGATGCAATTGTTCGTCTTTCATATCAAAACTTGCAGAGAAGCTGAATATATTGCAGTAGAAAGACCAGTTGAGGCATTCACAAATATCCTTTTTTCTTCTGGAACTACAGGTAGCATAAAGATAAAACTTTATCTCAAATATTTTTCTCTCTTGCTTTCCAACTTCTAGTTGCTCTGCTTGGATTGGCATGGCTGTCCCCCTTCGCTGGTTGAGGCTCATGGCTGGGGGGCGGGGGAAAGGGGTCAAAGTTTTCTTTTTCTTTATCCTTCATTCATTTTCATATGCAGTATGGTGTTTCTAAGAACCACAAATAATTGACTATAGTCTATACCCATAATCAATTTCGTTTCAGCATTTTTTATATCTTTCATGTAAATGAAATCCAAGTTTTTTCTCTAATTTTTTTCAAAAATTGCATGACAACTGAAATTTCAATTTGTTGAGATATTCAGGATGTATTATGCTAGGATTATGTTTTCTAGAAAAGAAAAGAAATTGGGAAATGCTGTTACATATTAAAGCGTGGAAGTTGTGCTTCTGCAATATTGATTGAATGAAAAACAAATCTCATGTTCGGATTAAATCTATTGAAGTTGATTAGAGTGGGCTGCTAATTAGTTAGTTTTCTACACGTGTGTGTGTGGTCAATAAAAGTCGGCTAATTTCATTTGAAACTTGGAGTCTGTATTTTTATTTTAGCTTTTGATTAGTGTTTCGAAAGTCAACCCACCAGAGTCATTTCAGTGCCTTATCTTTACACAGTCGGTCCCAAGCCCGGAAAAAAGAGGAGGTTTGCATTATGTAGCTTGATGTCCAACCTAAAGCTTTTATCAGGACCAATATGAACATGAATATGAACATTATTCAAAAATTTAGTATAGTAAGTTGAGTTACCTCTGTCCAAGAGTAAAAGTGGGATCCAAAACTTTAAGTGAGGGCAAAAAGGTAATTATAATTCTCAATTATGCACTCACAAAAAATTAGGACTCATGTTCATGTGGTTCATCTCATTAAACATGTTAGGGTTTCCAAGCTACATATTTGATTCAAAAAAACCTCTTTTGGCATCCATAAGATTGTCTGTAGAAGTTTCTTTCTTTGTTTTTTGTTTTTTTATTTAACCCTAAAAGATCCAGGACATGGTTCTTTAGATTGTTCGATGGATCAATTAAAAGCCATTGGAGTAATTTTGATTGATCAAAATTAACCTCCATTGAACAAGGCTGCAGAATTAAGTTCTCAAATAGGATTCAATTTCTCTCAACCCTAACCCTAATATGCTTCTATGCTCTGCTTTAAAGATCTTATGGTTTCAAAGAACCTACACACATCATAGCTCAAATATATATGATCATATTGAGTGCGCTCTAGCAATCCAGTTTCTAGGGTTTTCATTGTTTTTGGATGCATCATCATACATCTAGATGATGAGTTTGAAACAAACAATCCAAGCACTACAGGGATATTCCAACGCTGGAGGCATCTTTCACACAACTACGAAGAATGGACAATATTAGTCACATAGGTCAATGTGGTCAAAGAGGAGTGGGTTGCGTGAGGAGCGGGTTCGTTGACCGATAGCTGGGGAGTTTAAGAAGAACGGTCGGCGTGAGTCTGGTTCAAAAGTAACTAGGGAATTCTTGGCCTAGAGTTTGGTTAACCAGTTGTAAAACCTTTTCTCATTGTGAATTTGATCTTTCTGGAGTAGGTTTTGTAATTTTTTTTCATGTAAAATCATGCATTCATCTGTGTGGATGATCTAAAGCCTTGATATTATCATATTTTTTCTTGCTTTCCTTTTGTTGTCCATTCTGGAATTGTTGTCAATTGTGATGAACTACATTTATAGTTGGAGAATAGCAATAGGGGATTAGGGACAAGAAATAAACGTTTGGTACTACATGCACAAAATTATAAAGGAAATAACTTGCAGTTGACAATATAGCCAATAACAAAAACTGCCTATATGTTTAGGCCATGCATTTTTTATCTGAAATATCTTGCATAAGTCACAGTCTTATTTTATTCTTTTTGATACTTGCATATATGAATTTTTAAATTAAGAACTAAATGAGTTAATTAGACATTTTGCCTATTAAAATAAAAAGGAATTTAGCATTATCAATTCAATGAAAATAGAATGATGATTCAAACCAAGAACAGATCGTGGCTAACAGCCTTGACTGGATTTATTTGTAGGTGAACCAAAGGCAATTCCATGGACCCTTGCAACACCTCTCAAAGCTGCTGCAGATGGTTGGTGTCACATGGATATCCGTAAAGGTGATATTGTTGCTTGGCCCACTAATCTTGGATGGATGATGGGGCCTTGGCTACTTTATGCTTCATTGTTGAATGGAGCATCCATGGCTTTGTATAATGGATCTCCCCTTGGTTCTGGCTTTGCCAAGTTTGTACAGGTGGAAACTTTTTTTTCCTTAGTGATAACCTGCTGTGTTTTGGCCTTTTTTCTGTGGTCGTTTCTTTTATTTTGCTTCTCATTGTTGTCTGAGATACCAGCTCTGACTCAGTGTTACTGAAGTAGTCTGTTTCTTTGGTGTTATAATTGTTCAATATTTCTTGATACAGAAATTGTTCTAGAGCAAATCTGCAAAGTAATAACCACATATTCAAGGTTATTGCCCGGAGCAAGGATTTCTGGGTATGAGATTTTTAGTATGTAAACCCCAATGTAATAGCGAATAGAGCAACGGTGCTGGAAAGAGAAAGTAGTATTAGTTTGTTGAGAAACAGTATCAGTGTTTTCTCCAAGTTGCTAGCAATTATGAAAGAGAACTGCACGAAACTTTAAGAAATGAGTCAAAATGATTTGACTTATTATATAAACAGATAAACATATAAGCTATGGTACCATTGGTCTGTTCACTCTATGTCCTTGGATACAGAGCTGTATTTCACGGCTGCCCTAGAATCTATGGTACTACAGTAAATTAGGCAAAGAAATGTTTTGTTTGTCGTAGATTATGAATTATGACTAATCACATTGACAAGCAAATAGCTGACAGAAGAATGTGAATTCTTCAATTTCTGTGTCTAATGCCTCATCTCTGATCACCACATAATGGCAGCATAGTTCTGAAAGCATGTAACTTAACCTATGAACCTGATAATATTTTTTTGCACCTATGAATCTGATAATATTTTTTTGCTTCTCTCTTAAAATTATAATTTTTACTCAATTTCTTTACATTTCCCATGCTTGCAAAATAGTCCAGATCATATCCGCAATCATGATAGTAGTATAGTTTACTATAGCTAAATGGTTTACAGAAACTTGGGGATAAAGCATATTAGATAAAGAACTTTGGGAGAAACTACTTTTCCAATATCTCTCCTGTCTGAGTTTTTTTATTTTTTTTTATTTTTAATGTTATGTGTTCATTTGAATATCTCCTGCAACTTGTCTAGGATGCTGAAGTAACAATGCTCGGTGTGATCCCTAGTATTGTAAGGGCATGGAAAGCTACAAATTGTACAGATAACTGTGATTGGTCATCCATCCGGTAAGCGTAAGTTGGCTGTTGTCCTTGATTTTTTTTTTTTTTTTTTCTTTATTCTTAATGTAGCAGCAATATATCTATATATATGTACACACACATAGATGTGTGACTGGAAATACATTAAATTTGATCTAAGATTTTGTTTCCAAAACTAATAGTAATTAATTATTATTATTTTATTTTTTTTGAATTTGGTAGTTGCTTTGGTTCCACTGGTGAGGCATCTAATGCAGATGAATACCTATGGCTGATGGGGAGAGCTCATTACAAGCCTGTCATTGAGTATTGTGGTGGTACAGAGATTGGTGGTGGATTTGTTTCTGGGTCCTTATTGCAGGCTCAATCTTTGGCTGCTTTTAGCACACCAGCTATGGGCTGCAGTTTGTTTATTCTCGGTGATGATGGAATCCCTATAGTAAGCACCATTCAACCTTACATCTAGTACAATGATTTAACTTTCCTTTCGTTGTCATCTGAAACAAGGATTAAGCATTGCCAAGTACTGGAGGGGGTGCAATGGTAATATCTCAGGTTTCCAAGTGTGAGATCCTAGGTTAGGTTCTGAGAGCAGTAATTTTGTGTAAAATAATTTTAATGGTTAGGTGACTTGGGTCTGTATCTAGTTTACCCCTTTCAACACTAGGACCAACACTAAGTAATAAACATTTCTTTTCATTGAAATGGTAGAAATGTTTCCATATATTCCTAGTGAGACAAAATTGATTCCATCGGAAAATATTGAAAAATTATTGAAACATGTCAAAATGGTAGAAATTTATCGTAACAGTGTTTACAAAAACTCAAAAATGGCAATACCCAATTTTTAAGAAAGGTCCAATTATAATTCTCATATGCTAATGTTATAGCGTAGCTTGCTACTTATGTACTTGAATTGTTATTTTATGTTTAACTTGCGTCAAGGTGTCTGCTTTGTGCATATTATACAGTCCAAGCCTATTATTTATTTATTTATTTTTGGTAAGTCCAAGCCTATTATTTTCATAGTGTAGTATTTGCTTATAGTAATTGAATATTACATTGGAAAAACCTAACAATATATATATATATATATATTGCAAGAGAAAAATATGATTTGATATCTTTTATAAAGGTATTCACATTCAACATGTATTACTTAAACATGTTCATTTGATGAATTATTTGAGTTATTTTACTCATTAATAGATCAAACTATATTTTCAAGTGTCCTTGTGTTTTCAATTATTATTTTTTTATGTATCCTTGAGTTTGTGAAGTGTTTTTAATTTTTTAATTTTATTTTTATTATTTTATTTTTCCATTTTTAATCCGGCAAAAATGACACTTTGCACTCCAATCAATATTTGCATTGCAGAGCTAGCCCATTTTTCATTGCTCTTATAAGTTTGAAATTTCTACTTTGTCACTATCTATCTTTATTCCTACTTATTGAGCAAGTATTTATTGACAGTGCCTAATGAAGGAATGGCCTTGCTTTCCTGCCAATTATGTGCAATAACATTAGAACATCATCTGACCATGTGTATGTTTCTACAGAAGAGTAATCTTTTCATGTGGTCACCGATTCGGTACACACCTTTGAATTTGCAAAATGGGCTGTGCCTTAGAATTTTTCTTCAACCTTTCCAAGGGATGTCATTAATATTCTTGTCAAATATCACATTTATGTTCTGATTTGCTGTCTGATATTCAAACTGTCGTTAATCAGTATTGGTTTGAATGTTGGGAGGGGAGGACTTGGTAGAGACCTACCTCTATCAATATTTGTCCAATGTGGTTGATCTCAGATTTAAACCTGCTTTTCATGTGCGACAGTCTGAGCTTTTGCCACTAGATCAAGTAACATTAAAAGCCAGTCAATCCCTCCTAGTCCCATCATGTGTATAATTCTTTCTTTTTTTCGTCATGAACTTTTTTAATGAGCTATACTTGTTTATCAGTTTCACAGCAAATTTTCATCTACTTCAAAATGTTTATATAAAGCATTGAAATAATCTAATCCCTTATTTTGTAGCCACCAGATGTTCCTGGGATGGGTGAATTGGCTCTTGGTCCCCTAATATTTGGAGCTTCAAGCACACTATTGAATGCTGACCATTATAATGTCTATTTCAAAGGAATGCCTGTTTGGAATGGAAAGGTGAGCAGATGATATAATGGCTTTAGATGAGTGTGGAATTGAGCTTACTTAAACATTTAATAATGGGAATCTTCCAGTTAAACTCTTGTTGTTGGTTTTCCCATGAAGGTTCTACGAAGGCATGGGGATGTGTTTGAGCGTACTTCTAGAGGATACTATCATGCACATGGCCGTGCAGATGATACAATGAACCTTGGCGGTATCAAGGTCTGCATTTAGCCTCACAAAATTATGATCTATGAAATATATGTTAGTTTATTATTATTTAGTTTCAAGTTGTATTTGTGCTGATGCATTCATGCTTTGAAAGCTGGAAGTAAAAATACAATTGGTCAAATCATGATTCTTGGACATTGTAGTTGAAAATGAAGGTTGTATCACTGCACTACTGCAGGACCTCTTACGAGATGATCCATCTAACAGACATATGGTTATAATTTTTTTATTTTGAAGTTTTCCTTGAATTTCTAATTTTTTTTTTTTTGACATAGAATAGCATTCAAAATGCTTTGATTCTCCTGCTTGTATTATCTCAGCAAAACCTGTTAACGTTGAAAGGATTATATTTGAATGCTTGCCTCATACACAAGATACAGGGTGCTTATGGAAGTCAGCCTGAATATTCAAATACAAATAGAATGCCGAATACAAACTGCTTGACCCAACTGCACATTTTAGAAGCATACTATAAATTGAAAAAGTATTATCCTAACTAATGTCGTGTCTGATGGATTGACACCTTTTAGGCACCACCTGTCTGGACTTACAAGGAGAGAGATCTCTAGTAGAGATCACATGTTTTCTGTATAGGTAGAAGCCATTTTTTCGTGCGTGTGTGATTGCATTAACTATTTCTTTCCATTCGGACAGGTAAGTTCAGTTGAAATTGAACGTATCTGCAATGCGGTTGATGAAAATGTCCTTGAGACAGCAGCCATTGGGGTTCCACCCGTTGGAGGTGGGCCTGAGAGGTTGGTAATTGCGGTTGTTTTCAAGGATTCAAATGATTCATCATCGGACCTGAATAAGTTGAAAATGGCCTTCAATTTAGCAGTGCAGAAGAAACTGAACCCTTTATTTAAGGTATAAAAATCTTCAAATAGTTGATTCCGGTGAGACGTTTCACTGTTATTGTGTAATATGCGTATTACACATTTGGTATTTGTTAACTTAATAATGTTTAAATGTGCAGGTTTCTCATGTTGTGAGTGTCGCATCTCTTCCAAGGACAGCAACAAATAAGGTTATGAGAAGGGTCTTGAGACAGCAACTGGCTGAAATTGACCAAAATTCTAAGTTGTGATACTGTTATCTGCATAAAGGCACCTTGGTAAGATAAATAATGGTGTTCTGTTTATTTTCATCACATGAATATTGGCTGATTCTCATGGTCTGCAGTTCTATTCCAAATAAATGTGTGGATGCTATTTGATTCTCATCGTCAGCAGTTCAATTCCGAATAAAAGTTTGGATAGATTATTTCTTTAAAGAACGAAATGAATGAAAAGAGTGAGAGATTGTAACTTTATAAAATCACAGATACCAGAATGAAAATAGTGAAAGATCCCGTTGCAGATGCACCGGACTATTATTTGTAAAATTAAATTTGTGGGATGGCCCCAAGAAGATTGGAACTCCCGACTTCCTGGATGTAAGGTGAGAGTTTTTGCTATTTGGCTATTTTCTTTGGGCATTGGGAAGTTCTTCTTGCAAATCAACCAAAGAATTTTGAGATGCAATGAGCATGAAAGTTCAGTGAAGGTCCTATTGACTTGAGTATTGAAATATTTCAGTATCAGTTACAAAAATTAAAAAATGCAATTAAAAAAATGTGGTTACCTCATATGAGTCCGCCATTGTTACAAGATCTAGGGAGGTCAGATGTATCCAAGCCTCATTTATACTTAATTATCAAATAAACTAATCCCCCCGCTAAAACATGTGAAAAATGTAAAACCATATCGATGAAGGCCTAAAGCAACTTTAAAAAATGGACGTATTTAAAGTTACACAGTGAATTAAAAAAAAAAATTTAAAAACCTCAACAGAGTAACCCTATTAGCAATGTGAAAGAAAATGAACCATATTTCAAGCGTAGCTTTTATATCTTCTGGATCTGTAATTATCTTCTTTGGTGTTCTTGAGAGCACAGCAACCAAGGGTGTACACAATGATTAAGAATACTACTACGCAAGCACCGATAATGGCCAGTAGCCTCCATTCTTTCTTGATGTTGGCAAGAAATCCGGCCTTGCATGACTTGCAGTCGAAGCATAGCCCCTCGTTGTTGCTCCATGTCTTGCAGTCGCTGTCTGACACCGCCGGCCCGGACTTGGGTACTGCCCAGAAGGTCGCGTTCTGGAACTCGAACCCACATGATGTTGGTGGCTTACAGCAACCGGCCTGAAAATCAAATCAAGAGTTTGTGAAGAGACGAATGACGAAGTGGGATTAATATAGTCCATGATGACAGATTGTTGGGAAAAGGTTTTGACGAGTTGAGATTAACTAGCTAGTAAATACGGATTACAATGTAATGAACTGTAACTTTTATTTATAATTGCAACTAAATGTAATTAAAGTTAATTCCAAATAATAATAATAATAATAATTAAAGCATATAATTGAGCTAATTGATAAAAATATATTCCCTACAGAAACCGAAAAAATAAAATAAAATAAAATTTGGTTGTCCTTTTATTATCCAAGCTAGTGTTTTTGGCAAATCAAAAGGAAAACTGAGGCCAAAAGAATTGGTGTTACAATGAAGGGAAATAAAAACAAAGAGAAACCAAATCTTTTTGGTTGTAAATATATATATATATATATATATATGTTGCCGATAATTTTTCATAACAGTTCATGAGCAATTACCATTTATTTGCAAAAATTCAAAATTTGTCTCATAAACCTAAAAATTATGAAACACACATGCACCCATTCAAGGAATTATGAAACATTTACTTAAAAAAAATAAATAAATACATTAGTTATATTTTGGAAAATTCATCAACATGTTCATCCAACAAAGAATACATTACCGATATAAAAAAATTCTAAAGGTATCATAACATATGTATAATTATATTCCTTCTCAATTATCATACAGATTTATATATATATTTGAACTCTCCTCCAAACGTTAACCAAATGAATATAACAGTGTCACATAATCAACTTTTAAACGACTTTTACAATACTGTTGGAAGGATCCCTTTCATACCTATGCATGTAACTATCCATCCATCTATATATATATATATATATATATATATATATATATATATATCATATTAAACCAAAAATATATATATACCTGGGTGGCAGACAGTTGAGCCTTATAGAAATCGGCCGCGGCGGTCGCACCAACTCGGCCTTTGCCTAGTAGACTCTCACATATCTTAGCATCAACCATGCAACTCTTGATCTTATACCAGTTTTTGTCATTCACCACATGCTTTTGCAACCAATTGGAGTAATCTCCGAGACGATACTCCTCGAACCCTCTCCCTGATATCACCTGACCAACTCCCTTGTTCGTGACCAAAATCCCGAACACCGTAACACCGGCCAGTGCCAAAATCGCCACAAACATCACAAACAAGTATACGTACAGCATCCAGGACACCTTCCAGCACGAACCCGCCAAACCCAACAACGACACCCCCAATAACACCAGACCCGCTATCAGGAGAGGCTGTTGGAGGAACGCTTTTTGGCAGACCGTGCCCGGGTTCAGGTAGAACCAGACCGATCCACCAACGGCCACGACCGATAAAAGTAGTGTCAGAACGTTGAAGATTGATATCAATGCGTTGCTTACCCGAACCATTGTGTTAGATCTCTCTACTAGATCCGATGGTGGATGAAAATGTAGATTGTAGAGAGAGAAAAGTGAGATTTAGAGAGAGAAACAGAATGGCCAAAAAGAAAGGAGGGGATGGAAGGACGTCGTCTGTGTAGTGGGGAGGATTGTTGTAAGTAACTGTTTTTAGTGTGATATATATATACAAACAACGTAGCAAATGGGTGTTACAGTTGTACATGAATTTGGAGACGCGCTGTCCTTGCCCTTTATCGCTATTGAAATTACGGGAATGCCCTTTGTGGCCTATTGTTATGGTCATGACAGTTTTTAGTAAAACTCAATCACTTGCTAGGGATTGTAATTATTTTATGGGGTGACGTGTTGATGAGGTTTTCACTGTGATAATTCTATACCAATACACATTCTTGAATATTGTTTATATATATATATATATTTTGGACATGCAATCATGTTATAACTCTTTAATTTCTCAAGTGAATTTTATCGTGAACCTATATATGTGGTGAGATAAAGGAGATGAATTAGTCAATTACACTGTCACAATTATCGACCAGACCTTCTTGTTTATCTTTAATTTTTATTTATAAATTAACTTAACTATAAGAATAATTCCTCCTGTCACCTTTATTACATGCGTGTCAATCATACGATCATCATTATCAAAAACGTTCTTATTTATCTGAAATATTTGGATAAATTTACCTAAACTTAGGACAATATATATTATTACTATATAGTTATTTATCTGGGCTAATGTACAATTGTTTTGGGTTGGACTTTTCTTATTCGCATCATGTTTTTGGTCTTAGGTCTTTCCTTTTGTTTATTAATGGCCGTTTACTCTATTTATACAATTCGTTTTTATTTTATCTATTAGGAAAAATAAAATAAAATGAAGAGAGTCTATGCATGAAATCATGTGAATTTACAAACATAGTCAAGTATCTATAATATCTAATATTTTGAAGCAAATTAACTAGAGACTGAGCCAATTAACATTTGGACTCAAATTATATATCAAGCGAACACTAAGCAATGGCCTCTACAGCTCTACTTTACAGATTCAACAAGTAATATAAGTTACATACATATATAAACTTAAGTAGAGTGAGTGCTGAGAACTTGCGTAGCCCCAGTAAAAATTAACATACATGTAAGAATATTAATGAATATTAAAAAGTGTACAACAAATTGATTGATTGATCCAGGAACATCAATGACGGAATCAATTAAGGGTAGGCTCTATGATATCTGTAAGCTCGGGTGTTGTCAAGAGCACAGCAACCAACAGCGTAAACAATGTTCAAGAAAACAAGGATGCAAGTCAAAATGATGGACATTTGCTTCCACTCTCGCTTAATATTGTCGAGAACTCCGGCCTTGCACGAGCCACAATTGAAGCACAGCTCCGTCTGGTTGTTGCTCCATGCCCTGCAATCGTCCGCTTGTGTTATTTGAGCTCCCTTTGGCACCGTCCAGTACGTCCGGTTCTGATACTCGAAACCACAGTAACTTGGTGGCTTGCAGCAACCGGACTAAATTAAACAACCATAACCAATATCACTAGTTAGTATCAAAATATTGCTAAAATGTTACTATATAACTTCAATTTGAATTACAAAATTAATTGCAACGAATAGTAAGTTTTTTTTTTTTTTTTTTGGGCGGGTAAGTTAGGTTTTATTCAATGGCCCATTGTCTCTACTGATCTCCTTTCAAAAGGGGTTTAAAAATATATATTTAAGTCGAAGAAATCATCTAAGAGAGTCAAAAAGACTAATAAAAACAAAGGCCGGCTAACATGATATAGCTCATGAGTGTCCTGGTCTAAAAAGAACACAACATAAACGTGGTATATATGATCAATAGGAATTAAACTAAATACTAATTAAGATAACGAGTGTGATCATTAATTATGCTTCTTATTCGAATTTGTGATATCCTATAGTTTTATATTATATGCTTCAGTTACATCATTTTTTTATTGATTATTGGATTAGGTTAGGGTTGTATTAGAAAATATGTTTCATATCTTGGATTGAGCAACGACCAAACCTAGCTCGATCTCAACCTAAAGTACGTACGTTCATAATAAATGAACACATAAAAAAGCTTAATATAGCTAGAGTTTTCTAACTAACAAATTAATTAAAGAATGAAACAAATTAATTGCAACAATGAAGAAAAAGGAGTCCAAACACAAAATAATTAATTAATACATACCTCGGTGGAAGTCAATCTAATCTTATAAAATTCACTGGCACCGCCATCAGAACCTCTGGCATTGGCGTCTGCAGCCGCCTTAGCAACTGCACCACCATTTCCATTTCCATTTCCATTTGGAGGCTCAGAATTCATGCAAAGCATAGAACCACTCAAACAACTCTTGATCTTGACCCAACGCTTGTCATTCACCACATTCTTCTTCAACCAACCCGAGTACTCGTCCAGCTCGTACTCCTTGTACCCTCTATCCGGCACCTGCTTGCCGGCACCTTTGTAGGTGACAATGAAGGAGAAGACCGAGAAGCAAAACAACCCAATGATCATCAAAAGCAGTACGAAGAGGTAGAGCCATAGAAGGGTGGAGATTCGGCAACACAAGCCTATCAATGCAAACAGTGACATGGTGAAGAGGAAGACGCCGAAAAAGAGAAGAGGCGTTTTGAGGATGTCTCCGCAAACAGGGAGGGAGGAGGAGAGGAAGATGAGAATGATGGATATGCCTAGAGTCCCCATGTTGAGGATTGACATCAATGTGTTGCTTACGTGACACATTTTGTCAGATCGATCTCTAGAGCTAGAGCTAGAGCTAGAGCTAGAGCGGGAATTCAAGTTGGAAACCCTAGCTAGCTAGGATCTGATCGATGATGGTGATGGTGGTGGTGGTGGGATGTATATTGTTTGTTTGTTGAAAATTGAGATACCATTAGAGTTAGAGGTAGAGAGAGGAGAGAGGTTTAGGGCGAGAGAAACGGAATGGCCAGAAAGAAGGAGGCCCTAAATCAACGAAAATGTTTTAAGATGCCACCAACGTAACAAAAATACATATTAATCTTTTACTCAACAATCATTAATAGAGTAGTCAAACCACTCAAACCCATCCAAATCCTGTCTTAAAATAGACCCGTCACGTTGTGCTCCAAGATGTTACGTGAATACATCATAAAAAAACCAAATGTAGGCAAAAGTGGGAAAAATATTAATCATATTTGTTCTTTATTTTTATTTTTATTTTTATTTTTTGTTTTTTGTCGTTTTCATAAAAACTAATTCATTAAAGTTCTGTTTGGCATGCGTTTTATTTCTGCTACTTTTGTTTTTAAGTTGCTACGGTGTCGATTTTGGTAACAAAAACATGTTTAATGCGACCTTATTTTATTTTACACAGTACTAAAACACTTCGTGAACAGTGACCCAAAACTAAAACACCAAAAAGACGTTTTTTCTTAAATGATCTAAGCCAGAACTTTTTAACACCATGACGAGCCCGAGTAAGAGCTCAATTTTTTGCGCTTGTTATGAACCTGAACTGAACTATAAATAAACGAGCCCGAGCCGGAACAGCTTAAAGCTCGATGTGGTTCATTTACAGTCCTAATCAATGCTAAAATAGATATTGATCAGCCACCGAGTGACCTTGATCAATAGCTCAATTTACCCTAATTTGCAAGTGTCAGAATTTCAAAATAATAATAATAATAATACATATACTTGCCCAAAAGAATTCACATACGATTTGTTTGTTTATGGCTTGTGAACGCGGATCACGTGCGTGGTGTGAATCGTGGGATGACCCATGGAATTTCACTTGATATTTAAAATGTGGGACCCTCATCTCACTTGATTTTAAAAATGTTGGACCCTCGTGGTGAGATTTATATATTTGTTGCAAAATTCTTGAATGTAAAAATATAAAAAGATGTTTGGTAAAAAAATTGCTATTTGTTAAAAATATAATGACTAATTTTGAAAGGTTATTTTATTTTATTTGTATTATTCATTGTTATAATATTCATTGCTATAATTAGAAAACATGTAAAAATATTAAAATAAAATATTTTTTATCAAATATTTTTTTCATTGTTCATAATTACAGTATTTGACAAAAATAAAAACACCGGAAATAAAACAACTACCAAACATGCACTCAACTTTCTGATTAAACTGGAACCAGTTGGACTTAAACATAGAATTCTCCTCATATTGATTGCTTGACTAACCAAGCTTAGAAAGTTAGATACTTTAGACTGGTGAGCCAACTGACCCACCCACTTTTTTCAATTAACTTGTTCCATTAACTAATTTAACTTGGAAGTGATTCTGAAAGGAAAAGATTGGACAAGTCTATTTTGTAACATTATTTTGTGGAAAGTGGGTGTAGCCTGACCCTCATAATCATATTTTTTATTTATTGAGAAGTGATATAAAAATCAAAAGTTTTAACCGATTAAAAAATGCGAATTCAAACAAATTAATAAATATTTTCACTTGAAGTTCAAATATCTCTATTAATTGTTTTATATTTGCACTGCAGTTATATATTTCACTTTAAAACGAAATTTCCTTGTTTAACATACAATATTATGATGGGATTAGCCTCCTCGCAATAGTATTTTTGGAAAGTAGAGAAGTATCTTTTAAGTAGCAAGAGATGGACTACTTCCACTTCATATACCATTAAACATAATAATAATAATATACTCTCTCCGTTTCAAAATAAAGTGTCCATTTTTTTTTTTTTTTAACTATCCCAAAATAATTATCCAATTTTATTTTTCAAATTATATATTTCACATATTCTATATAAACTTAAAATGACAAGTTAGAGCATCTTCAATGTCCTCTCAAACTCAAAATATAGCAGGTGGATAAAAATAAGGCACTCCAATGACCTCTCAAAAGACCTCTCATATTTTGAGATTCTCAAATGTATTCTCAAATATAGTAGCTCTGAAATGACCTCTCAAATTTAAAATATAGCAAGTAGATGAAAATAGGTACTCCAATGGGCTCTCTCAAAAGACCTCTCATATTTTGAGATTATAAAAAATTGTTAAAATGAAAATAAGGCACTCTAATGGGCTCTCAAAATATAGAATAATTATTTTGTCAAAAAATAGCATTTTGAATGAAATGCACTATTAGAGCAGAATTGCAAAAATATATCATTTTAACACTGTAACTCATCTCAAAATATAGATTTGACATGAAAATATAGCATTTTGAATTGGAGATGCTCTTAGTACCTTTTTAAGGGACAATGCATGTCCACATATTCCCTTAAAATTTTATATTTCTCTAAGAGCGATACTTAAATTGGGACAAGGAAGGGTCCGTTTGGTATGCACTTTGTTTTAGATATTTTGTTTTTAGTTAAAACAGAATACTAAAAAAATCAGAAGCACGTTTGGAAACGATATTTTAGGCGTTTTGTTTTTGGCCCGTATTGCGTTACTTTTATGATTTTGGATATGAACAGTTGTCAAAATAAGAAAAAATAACTTTTTGGTATTTTAGTTTTGGGTCACTATTTACGAAGTATTTTAACACTATATAAAATAAAATTAGATTTCATCAAATATCCTTTTATTGTCAAAAACGACCCTATAATATTCCAAAAACAAAAATAACATAAACAAAATACATGCCAATTTTGAAGTGAATAGGAAACAACAAACCGGCGGTAATCATCACAAATGTATAGACCGTTACAAAAAGACCATCATAAAAAGAACCAGATTCTTGATTGTACGTTTTAGTACTGCAGTGGTGCTGTTGTATACACCTGCTACCTGCAATACTACGTTTTTTCAAAGTTTCAAAGAATGGCTTGCACATCATTTAATTAATGTGTTGCAATAAAGATACTAAAATTAATCATGATATTGAAAGAATAGTTTGACTCACTGTATTTGTTAAAGGGAATTAATTAATGTGAAATTAGGTTAAATTAGATTATTTTTAAAATATTTTTTTTATTAAAATATTATCTAGTGATTTAGTTGGTAGATCGTTCAATTCTCTGAACAAGTATGTCTATATTCGAATTTCCCTCTTTTTTAATTTGTCAAGAAAAAAAAAAATCATTTTCTTACTAAAAATATAAGTGAAGCACAAATGCACATTTATTTCAAAGCTCAAAATAATAGTGTTGTCACCTCAAAAAATTCATATTGTAACCTGTATTGACATTATTAATTCTGTTTTACTAAAATTTTTTTTTTGTTCGACAATAATAATAATAGTGTCGGACCATTTAAAACTCGGCATGATCTACCACCTCTCCACCTCTCCACGTGCAATCCCCGCCCTCACATTCCAAATGCATTCTTCCATTTAATCTATGGTTATTTAGTTTTATTATTTGCATCATTATAAGGTTCTTATTTATAGTAAAATATTAAAAAAAAAAAAAAAAATTGAACCTAATCGTGCACAAACCCAATATAGTATCCCTAATAATGCTTGAGCAGTCAACCTCCTTGCTAGGATGAGAACTCATAGCAACAAAGACCGGTATCCATTGATAAAATGTTCATTTATTCAAGATTGAGCCAGAAATTATGTTCGGGAAATAAGAGGAGTTCAAAGTTATTTTGTTCTAGTCCCAACGTTGTAACTTGTCTCTACCTGATGATTGATGGGATGAACATCTTTCTATATCACACCAGGAACCCACATTTTTCATAAAATTGTTTGTGGGCCCAGAAAGCTGACATTTGTTTACACACGCGCACTTACCTAACCCTCTCTCTCTGCCTCCTGAGTCTTAACGTCTCCTCCAACCCACCGCCAAAAGCCACCTTCAATCACCCTGCTTTCATCGCCCAAAGGCGGACTTTCCCATGACACTCTCTCTATTTATACGAAAAACCCTAACTCCCCTTTCCCTCCATTCCCTTTCCCCTCTCTCTCTCTCTAAAATTTTCTCTCTATAAAAGTAATGGCGTTAGCTTCCACTCCTCTCTCAAAACCATTCTTCTCCTCTAAACCCACATCATCATCATCATCATTTCCACCTTCCACTTCTTTCTACTCCCTCAAATCGCGGCCGTTGATCGTCCGCAGCATCGCCGCTGCTCCATCGGCGGCGCCCACGAAGGTTTCCAAGGAATTTGAAGTGAAATCGGTGAAGGCGAGGCAGATCATAGACAGCAGGGGAAATCCGACGGTGGAGGTTGATCTTGTGACCGATGATCTTTACCGATCTGCGGTCCCTAGTGGGGCCTCCACTGGGATCTACGAAGCATTGGAGCTGAGAGATGGTGATAAGAGCGTCTATGGAGGCAAAGGCGTTCTCAATGCTGTGAGGAACATCAATGAGTTCTTGGCTCCAAAACTCGTCGGTATTGATGTCAGGTAATAGCATTCAATAACTACTGTTTGCATATTTGTGTTTTATATATACGGTTCTATGTCCGCATTGTTTGGTTGCTAAGAAAATTTAGGGAGAAAAGGAAAATGAAAGCGCTAACTAAGCATGTTTTTATTTACTGTTTTTCCTGAATTTAAAATTAAAAAAAAATGTCTTTTTATTTATTAAGTTTTAGTTTCTGTAAACTGAAAAAACCCAGCAATTAAGTTAGTTTGGTTGTGCCATCATAAGCTGATATATGCCTTCATATTTAATGAGGAATTTGATATTCTATATTTTGTTTTGTATTTTTCATACCCTCTTTTTTTTTTTCATCCAACTAAAAAGGACTACTTTTATTTTATTTTATTTTATTTTATATAATAAAAATAAAGAAATAAAATTGCGAGCTAAAGCCCAAAGGGGTAGTAGCCCACTGATTACTGCAAGTTTAACACACCCTGTTGATTCTTAAGAAAAAGTTTCCATTTTTTCCTTTTAATTTTTAAATAGTCTTAAGTTATGATTTTGGGTTGAAAAACTTGATGCTTGTACATTTATGTAGGCCTTTGTATGCATAATTTATTATTATTGTCATTTTTACTTTTTTTTTTTTTTTTTTTTTTAATTTTTTATTTATATAAATAAAAGGAATCAAGCTGATGTTGATGCGATTATGCTGGAGCTTGATGGAACTCCAAACAAGGCAAAGCTTGGGGCTAATGCAATACTAGGAGTGTCTCTAAGTGTATGTAGAGCTGGTGCAGGAGCGAAAGGAATACCACTTTACAAGCACATACAGGAAATATCAGGAACAAAGGAGCTTGTTATGCCGGTTCCAGCATTTAATGTGATTAATGGAGGTAGCCACGCCGGAAATAATCTTGCTATGCAAGAATTCATGATATTACCAGTAGGAGCAACCTCATTTGCGGAGGCTCTCCGCATGGGTAGTGAAGGTTAGCACTAGTTATTGTCCTATTGCTGTTCTTTTATCTTCTGATATGAGCTACCAATCCATATGCCCCTATCGTTCATAAACTCCAATAATAATTGTCTAATGGTGCTAACCATCATAATTCATTTATTGTTTGGACAATTAAGTTGTATATTCTTGTTTATCTTCCCATGTGCATAAAGTTTCGTGCATTTTCTGAGTAATGAGTATTTGAAGTTTCTTTGGCATGACTACTATTTTCGCATGAATTAGTTGCTTTTGGTTTGCTACTGAATAGTCCTTTCTGAGGGAGATAAATAATTGTTCCTAAATTTTGATGGAGCAGTTTATCACACACTGAAGGGAATTATCAAAGCGAAATATGGACAAGATGCATGTAACGTTGGAGATGAAGGAGGCTTTGCTCCCAATGTTCAGGATAACAGGGAAGGGTTGGTATTGCTCATGGATGCAATTGAAAAGGCTGGCTACACAGGCAAGGTACGAGACAAATCTCTGTGTCTTTGTTAGTTGCAGCTTAATGTATCTTTTCTTTTATAGCATTTGTGAACTAACAATGAATGATGCAGATTAAAATAGGAATGGATGTTGCGGCTTCAGAGTTTTTAACAAAAGATGGGAAATATGATCTCAATTTTAAGAAACAGCCAAATGATGGTGCTCATGTACTTTCAGATCAGAGCCTTTGTGAACTTTACAAGGAGTTTGTCAAAGAGTTCCCTATTGTGTCCATTGAAGATCCCTTTGACCAGGATGATTGGAATTCATGGACTTCACTACAGTCTTCGGTTGATATCCAAATTGTAGGTGATGACTTGTTGGTTACAAATCCAAAGAGAATAGTTGAAGCCATTCAGAAGAAGGCTTGCAATGGTTTGCTCTTAAAGGTAAGAACTTATGCTTATTATTTATGACAATCCTATATCTATTTTTTATTATCATATAGTGGAGTTATATTTCCACGTTTTTTTTTTTTTTTTTTTTTTTTCATTCTTCAGCTCATCGTGATTGTTCTTCTACATTTTGTTGAATTATTTTTTTCCTTTTAAAGTTCTGTAGTTCTAAATTATTTTGTCAGCTTAACCTTTCTTCTCTCCACCGGTAGACCAGTAGCTTGACCTTTCATACATAATTGGCCAAAAAATTATATCATCTAAGGACATATTTGGACATGGAAATTCCTCAACTCGTGTTGTTCATCCGTTGAAACTTGATAGTTCTATTTCCCATCAATTTCTGATATACAATCATGTTGATTGCCAGTGTCTGGCAATCATGGGAAAATTGTGTAATTCTATTAAATGGTATTGAACTGCAAGTTGTTCTTAAGTTACGGATGTGGTTGTTGGTTTACACCTGCCAGTTGCTATTATTACATCAGTCCTAAACTTTGTTTTGCCGCATGCATGTGATTGATTATTTTGGCTTACGTTACCATCTGGATTCAATTTATGTTCAGATGAAATATGCAAAGTCAAAAATGGTGAAAGGTGAAATGGCCTTCACGCAGTGATGAGCAAATAAATTAAATGAGGTTTTCATACTGATTCCGATTTAAAATTTAAAGTATTTAAATCAGAATAGTTTCTTTTAATACAATTCTTCACCATACTTTCAATAAGTTTTGCAAATAGTTATTATGTATATATGTTTCAAGGTTGATCATTGTATGCCGTTTTGGTGCTGATTCAACTTTCCCCATTTAATAATTGCAGGTTAACCAGATTGGCACAGTTACCGAATCGATTCAAGCTGCTCTTGACTCAAAAGCTGCAGGATGGGGTGTGATGGTCAGCCATCGAAGTGGTGAAACAGAGGATAACTTCATTGCAGATCTTTCTGTTGGCTTGGCTAGTGGACAGGTTTTATGAACTGTAATCTTAGACTGCTATATATGTTATGCAATTTTTTGGTGTTTATTCAGCAGTTGTATATTCTATTTTGTAGATCAAAACTGGAGCTCCTTGCCGAAGTGAGCGATTGTCCAAGTATAATCAGGTAAAAATGGAGCCTTGTATTTTCTTTTCCTTTTTAACCCTTGAAGGGATCTCTCTCTCTCATGCTGGTAGCATCCTCAACCGGAGGGATACTCCCAGATATGCAAGAAAAGTATAGATCTCTGTATCTCTGAGTAGGCGATTAAATTGCTATGGATCAGGTCAATTGTATCCCTGATACCATTAAAAGTCAGTCTGGTTGGACGATCCTAATCACCCAATTTAGTTCATGGTTAGTTGAGTGGCTAGGATTATGAAGTTATATTGTTCATCTCCAGCTTGAGACTGCAAAAACCTTTCAGTTGTGCATTTTAGTAGTTAAACCCTCCATGTGCAACTTGGAGCAGTAACTAACCTACAAGAAAAAAAACACTCATGGCAGTAGAGCAACTAAATAGATGGCCCTTACCAAATAAAAAACAATAAAAAAGCCGATTTTTCCCTGATTTACTGAAATGATCTTCCCCAAAATGGCAAATTCTAATATGATTTTTTTTTTTTTTTTTTGAAGTTTCAAATTCTAATATGATTAATTTTGAATATTTATTTATTAGCAATCAATCGAAATCTATATTTTCAATTTTTTCTGTGTTATTAATTTTGAGCAACTGATCTCATCCATTCTGGGCACTCAACTTGATTACAGCTTTTGCGCATTGAAGAGGAGCTTGGAAATGTTCGGTATGCTGGTGAAGCTTTCAGGTCACCATAAGCAAAAAGAGAACAAATTTGATTTCTTTTGTTTGGAATAAGTAGTATACCAAATTTGCATCATGAAACCAATTACCGGAGCTGTAAGTCAGAGACTTTGTGTCTAGGAGTATCTTGAGAAGTTTTGTAAATCTGTTCGGCTTGGAATGCCATTTGTAAGGGAATGTTTTCTGATCAGCCAGGCATGTTATAAACCATGTCTCATCATCAATTGAAGCTGTTGTTCACTCTGAATAAAGAATTGTTTTCTGTAACCACTCAAGTACGAGGAACTGGTTGAATTTGATTTTCGTATATATATATATACCTTCACATGTAAACAGTTACATTCGTAATTTCTCTTTGGCTTTTAACTGGTGGTCTCTGAAAAAATTGATTATGTGATCATCAAATTTACCAAAACAATCACTTGCATGCATATGTGAAAGAACTTTATTCTCTCAATTCAGTCTCTTTTATCTCCACACTTCTGACATCCCTACCATTGCGTTCTTGAGCCTTAGCTTACCAACAGCAGGGCCAGTGTTGGCTGAGATGGCCTTGGCTACAAATTCCCAAGCCTCATACATTTCCCTCTGTGAAAAGAATACTAGTGAAAGGTAATGGTCACATATGGAGCAGCATAATCACCTCCATTGAAGCAACATGCAGTCTTAGCTTTCTGTATCGAGTCAAGCAAGAAAAGGACTCGGTGCTATAGTTGCAATGCCCCATGGCCAGGGATAGTTAGACCTGATCAAAAGCATGAAGAATTAGCCCATTTCTGACTCTATTGCATCTGGGCTTTGATTAAGATATGGGGAACAAGATGGTTTATATGTAATTAACAGAAAAATGAATGCATATATGATATAATAACTAAATGACATATAAATACAGGCATAACAAGTTCCCAAAACCTGCACATTTTGATAAAATTAGCTGTTCAGATTACAAGTTATATAGGTGCAGAGATTCATGTAACTTTAGAGAAGTCTGATGTGGTGCCATGTATACAGCATTTCGTTGCTGCAAGTATCTTGTCACTGGAAGAAGGGAAGATTCTACCTTGATGCACATGGCAAGACTAAGAGCATTGTAGTTGCATTTATGGCCTCATGTGATGTAAGGCTTGCAGTCAAATGCGACAGAAACATCCTTCAGTATTCAATATGATTGTGATAAAGTCTCATCCGAAATCATCAACGATAAATGCTATATTTGAATATCTGGGCCCCTGTATGTCCCATGGTGCATGTAGAGATCATCTGGGGTTTCTATCTCAGCAAGCCACGCGTAGTCATCTTCTTTGCCATCACTTGTCTCATCTCCAGTTCCTGTGGCTGCAGCATGGTAAATTTGGCAATTCAGTCATGATTAATATTGGCTTTCATGTGGAAATTCTGCAAATCCTGTTAATCAGATCGGTCGGAAGCCATATATTGGAGAATTATAGTCCTGAAGAGACAATAAAACGAACTTACGGAAGCTGGAATAAGGGTAATCATGGTAGTAAGTACATCTCCTGCCTGCTTCTGCTTGGTAAGGGGGTGCAAGAATGTCAAGCACAGCACAAGGGGTGATTGCTGTGAAACAATGCAAATTCCCCCCACTCTTTGGGTACAAAACTGAGGTCCCACATGGTGCTGTTAGAACTTTATCGACGGCCAACTTCGCCAACCTTACTGGCAAAGAAAAGAATGCAATCAAAATTTGGAAACAGAAATAAAGACATATTAGCTACAAAATAACCCTTTCAAAGTAACTAGTCTAATCAATGCACCCTACTTATGTCTAACCCACTAGAAGAGGGTTTATCAACTGATATAACTTGATTCATTAATCTTAGGAGATGATTTTTCAAGTGATAATGTTGTATTTTAGAGTGTTAGGGAGTTATAGCGCTTTTACTAATAAAATTTGAGGCTTTATCTCCTGCCATAAGGGGTAGGGGTATAATGAGTTTTAGGCAGTGCCTATCCGATGTAAGGGTTTTTATGTCCAATATATAGGATTGAGGCGACCATTTTCATGGATGTATATTGGAGGGTTGCCATAAACTTGCTTGAAGTACTCCAGTAGTCCTACCAAACCCCAGGGTCTAATAGGGAACTGGGTCAAATAAATTGATCAGGAACACAATAAAAAATCCGAGAAGCAAAAAGCAATTTCATAAATTCTGGATCCATTTTTTTTGTGAGAGGCGTGGTAGGGATGCGGTAGGAGTCCTCTACTCCGACTAGTCCCCGGAGTCATTAACTCCGGTGAAATCCTCTACTACTTTTCTTCTATTTCCTTTTGTTTGAGTGATCTGTTGTTTCTGGAGTGTTTTTGTGAGTATTCGTTTCATCTTTGTCATGCGCTCGTTCTTGGAAGTTGCAAGATTGCCTCGACTGTTTCAAGGTGGTGTTGCGAGATCTGCAAATCCGTATAGGGGACCATCGATTTATTTGGATGATGACTCGGTTGATAGGAGAAAAAAGGACCTTAGGTCGTGTTTGGTGGGCTTTTTTGATAAGGAAGTAGGCGATGGAGCACAGATTGCAGTGTGGGCTTCGAGAGCTTGGAAGATCTCCACTGGTGTGTCGGTCTCGCCGTTGCCTGACTCGCTTCTTTTGTTTCGATTTCCCTCAGCAGTCGAAGCATCTCGAGTTCTTAAAGAAGGTCGACGTGACTGGGGGAAGGCAACTCTTCATGTGGATGCTTGGAATTTCAGGGTCGGGTGTTCGGAGATCTTGAAAGAGAAGGGGTTGAAGAAGGTGACGATTTTTGGCCTTCCACTTCACCTGTGGAGTCATGCTTTGTTTGTGACAGTAGGCGATTTATGCAGTGGGTTTATCTGGGTGGAGGCCGATGAGGCCATTGATGCTGAAAGAGTTCGTATTACAGTCGCTGATGGAAAGGTTTGTCCACCTTTTGTGTTCGTTCATGACGATCGGTACTGTTACAAGGTGGCAGTGTGGGAGGAGAAGCACCCCGAGCTTGTTCCGACGACAGATTGCTTGGAAGGAGGTGATGGTTCACATCTGCTTAAGGAAAAAGAATGGTTGAGGTGGGAATCTATGGGGAAAAAGGGAATGGCAGAGTTCCAGAGATGGAAGAATTGGAGAGATGCGTTGTGGATTCGTAATAAGGAATGTTTCCGGAGGCTTTTTGTTCAGAAACGTAGGGATGGGCTCTCGTCTGCTTTGAATCGGCGTCAGCCGGTTGATTTCCGGAAGATGCAGTGGAAAGGAGGATCCATCGGGATTAGTCGTCGGCTATTTTTGCAACGGTGGGAACAGAAAGGGTCTCGTCGTGGTGGTGTTCACGCGCAACAAGCGCGTGGGAGTGAGAAGGGGAGAATTGCAGACCAACCACGTGGTTGGCTCCCAGGAGTTGCCCGTTCACAGTGGAATACAGTTGTTTCCACGAATTTTTCAAATTCCGCTAAGTGGGTTGGTAAGAATACAAAGACCATACGCACTGACGGGCCTGATGTTGGGTTGGGGATTGGGGCTTTAGTTGTTAGTGAGGGCTGTACTTCTTCTTGTGGGCCTGTTCAGAGACATCTAATTTTTGGCAAGCCCGTTTGTGATTTGAGGTTGGATGGTGGACCGGTTACCCAGTTTTTTAAAGATGGGTTGGTTGGCAGGTCGGGTGCCCATTCGCTTGATGGGTCAGCTGGGTTGAATACTGGGCAGGTTGGTGGGTCTTCTTGCTATGGGCTTGAGTTGAAGAATTGTTTTGAGCCATTGACTTCCGCTTCAGTTGGTAGTGACTCGCAACTTTCTGGAAGAGTCAAGGAGGATCGGCGTGCTAGGGATCGGGTGCAGCGAATACGTCTTCCTAAGAAAAAGATCCGTCTTCCTACTTTTCGCAAACGTTGGACACGAAAGGATAAGCAGAAATGGGTGGCGTCTGTGCAGTCGGATTTGGATCCGGGTAAGTCCACTGTTGTTTCTAAGGCACCTCCTTCTTGTTTCTTCTCTCCCTCTGCTCCTTCTCCTTCTCAAGGGGGGTCGAGTTTTTCCTCTAATTTGAAGCATAGTTTGGAGAACGGGCGAAAGGATGGTGTTGGGGTTTGCCACGTTGATGGATTGGGTACATCTCGGTCTGTGATTCAGAAGAATGAGAGTGTCACAGTTTGTGTGGGACATGATATGAAAATTTGTTTGGATGATGCTTTAGCGACTGTGTTGCTGAGTGAGTTGTGGACTTATTTAGCTTTAAAGGGTTTTCAGTGTGGGACGAGTGGGTTTTTGGCTGCTGAGGTTAATGGGACTCTACTGGATGGTCATTCTGCTCCCTCGTCAGTCTTTGAGGACGGGGATGGTGGGTCATGCTCTTTTTTTGAGGATTTGGGGTCAGGTTAGTGGAATGGCAATGAGACGAATTTTGATTTCTTTGCTCCTTTGGCGTTTGTTCATCCGGATGAGGTATTTGTGGATGGGGCTGGTTCTGATTCAGGAAGGTTTGTTATGGAAGACAATTGGGTGAGGGAGAAAGGAATTGATATTGGCTCTTTGTTGGGAGTTTCTTTTGAAGGACGAATGGAGGAGGCGACGAATATGTTTTTGGAGGTTCTGTCTTCTCAGAATTTGGATAAAATGGGTGGTAGGGAGAGTAAGGGGAGCATGCCGGGGGAGTTGGAGGTTGAGGAGAGGGGAGTGTTAAGCCCAACGGCTCTTGTCACTTATGAAAGAAGAAACAAGGGGTGTAAGGAAAAGGGTGGTGGAGGGAGGGATGTGTCTATCCAATCTGTTGTTTCCTTATGAAGCTATAAATCCTTTCTTGGAATGTACGGGGTCTCAATGATCCGGTTAGAAGAAAAATGGTGAAGGCGGTGATTCGTAAAGGGGGTGTTCATGTTGTGTGTTTGCAAGAAACAAAGATTGAGACGATGACGGATTTGTTGGTGCGTAGTTTATGGGGAGGTAGATTAGTGGAGTGGTTTGCTCTGGATGCTATTGGTTCTGCCGGTGGGGTTCTTGTGATATGGGATAATCGGTGGGTCTCTATGATGGATTCTCAGGTTGGGCGCTTCTCTGCTTCCTGCATTTTCTCTGTGTTGGAGGATGATTTTCGTTGGATTTTTTCTGGTATTTATGGCCCTACTGAGGATTGTGTGCGTCATTTGCTTTGGGCGGAGCTGGGAGAGGTTCATAGGAGATAGTCTTTACCTTGGTGTATTGGTGGGGATTTCAATGTTGTTCGTTCCCCGTTTGAGAGATCGTCAAGTGGTAGGTGGACAGTCGAGATGGAGGCTTTCTCGGAGTTTATTGATGTTTTTGGTTTGATTGATCTGCCTTTGGTGGGTGGGCCCTTCACTTGGTCGAGTGGTCGTTCTCCCCCTACCTTCTCTAGACTTGACAGATTCCTGGTGTCGAGTGATTGGGAGGAGCACTTTTCGGATGTTATCCAGACCACTTTAGCTCGTCCTTTGTCTGACCATGTTCCTTTGATGTTGGACTGTGGTGGGTTGCGCAGTAGAAGATTCCCTTTCAGGTTTGAGAATATGTGGCTTCGGGCTGAAGGTTGTGTCCGATCTTGGTGGGTGGGGTATGTTGTTGCTGGCACCCCTAGTCATTCCTTTGCAGGTAAGCTGTGGTTTTTGAAAAATGACCTCAAAGTCTGGAACAAAGAGATTTTCGGTAATCTTGTGTGGAGGAAGAATCGGGTTTTTTCTGAGATTGCAGACATTGATAGATTAGAGGGTCAAGGATCTTTGTCAGATTCCTTGAAGCTTAGGAGGGTGGAGTGTCAGGCGGAGTTTGCTGAGATTGCGGTCATGGAGGAAATTTCTTGGAGGCAAAAGTCTAGAGCTTTGTGGCTCAAGGAAGGTGACAACAACACGAAATTTTTTCATAGACTTGCTAATGCTCACAAACGAGGCAATCATATCAGGAGGATTCGGGTGGAAGGGGAGATGTTTTGCAAGGAAGATGAGATTTGTAAGAGTTTTGCTGATTACTTTTCAGTTTTGTTCTCTGAACCGGTTAAGTGGAAACCTTTACTGGCTGGGCTTCATTTTGACTCTATTTCGGATGAGGATTGTTCTCTTTTAGAGGTCCCTTTCTCTGAAGAGGAAGTTTTGTCTGCTTTGAAGAACTGTAATGGGGATAAAGCCCCAGGTCCAGATGGCTTTTCTTTGCGTTTTCTTTTGGAGTGTTAGGAAGTGGTCCGAGATGATGTGATGGGCTCTTTTCATGCTTTCCATGCTCATGGCTCTTTTGAAAAGAGCTTGAATGCCACTTTCATTGCCCTTGTTCCGAAAAAGGGAAGAGCGCTGGATGTCAGGGATTTTCGTCCTATTTGTTTGGTGGGTTGGTGGGCTCTTTTGAGGAAGGTTCTGGATGGCGTCATTTCTGATGCTCAAAATGCTTTTGTGGGAGGTCGTCAAATTTTGGATTCGGTTCTTATTGCTAGTGAATGTGTGGACTCCAGGCTAAGTAGTGGGGTTCCGGGTGTTTTGTGTAAGTTGGACATCGAGAAAGCTTACGACCATGTGTGTTGGAGTTTCCTTATCTACTTGATGGAGAGGATGGGTTTCGGGGAGCGTTGGAGGAGATGGATTCTGTTTTGTATCTCTAGTGCGTGTTTTTCTGTCCTTGTGAATGGAGCTCCGACGGGGTTTTTCTCTAGTTCGAGGGGCTTGAGACAGGGGGATCCGCTTTCTCCTTTCCTTTTTCTTTTTGTGATGGAG